GCATTATTAAAGACAAAAAGTAAATTAAAACTAATTAAATAAGTATTAAATAAAAATCACATCCAAAAATTAAAAATTAAAATGGATAAATTTGTTAATAAAATTTAAAAAATTTAATTTGCTAACAGTTTAATACAAAAAATTATTTTATGTAACTTTTTCAATCCACCAATAGTTTGGAATCTAATTGTTATCCACTAGTTTTAAACCGCTAAATAAAAAATTTTACCAAACATTTAATTTATAATGCCCTACCAGATAAAAACCCTAATTTGGTTATGCAAGCTAACCGAATAGGGCTATATTTTGACTAAAAAACCACTAATTTAGTCAATCATAATAACCAAATTGTTGGACCGCATATGCTTTGTACGAAATAAAATTTCGGATAAAATTTCATCTTGACTGAAATAAAAAATAATTCAATTAAGATTCTTGACCAAAAATTGGTTGAGAAATCAATAAAGAATTCTTATAGTCAGACAAATATCTTGACCAAAATATTTAAATATTATGTAATCAACTATTTCGATCAAAATGACTGACCAAATTAAAATGGAATTATAGTTTTTGTATAAATTATTTCGGTAAAGATATATGACCAAATTAACCGATAAGGGTATTCCTAGTAATTTGTATTACATGTTTTTCGGTCAGTTACCATGACTAAAATAAGATATATAGTAATTTTCACCTAGCAAATATTTCAATCAAAATAACTAATTGAAATAAAACGAAGGTGGATATTTTTGTAAATTTGTTGTAAATATTTTCAATTGAAAAATATGATCAAAATGCTAATAAATTTACAATATTTGCCATAATAGTTTTGGTGTCATGCCCCAAAACCAAAAGCAAAATAGATGCCGTGCACTTGTAAGAGGATCCCACAAATGCACAAGGCTCGGAACTTGCTAAATTCATTACTAACAGTCCACATAAACTTAGATCAATATTTCAAAATAAAATCTAACTTACAAAGAATAATCTACAACTCAAAATCTACGTCCAAAATACAATGGCTAGCTTTCTAACTCGTCACTCCCCTTGGTTACAAATCACTCGAGTCACACAATCTAAAATGGTGGACAAGGAAAAACTATGTGAGATATCTCAGTAAGTAAAATATGGATTGCCCTTAATTAAAGTTATAACATGCCAATAAGTGTAATCAAGTATCAAGAAAAACCAGTACAAGTATGGGAATGAAATAGACGTCTTCTCAATAGGTCATGGCCAACATTTATAAACCTCCCACTAGCGGGCACAAGATTTATTAGTGTATAATCCCACTAGCAAGATAACAGGTATAACAAGAATGAACCGGTTCCATAAGTAACATGTCGACATGTGCTAGCGTTTATAAACCTCTCACTAGCGGGTACAATAAAACATGACTATATTGGAGACAAAACCAAGCAAGATTTAATAGGAAAACCATAATTTACAAATAATTTCCAGATCATCAGGGCAGTCAAGTAAACTCCAAGTAGGCATACTCAATGAAAATGATAATAATTTCATTTCAAACCAATCATGCTTGTGTTTGTGTAAAATGGGTTTCCGCCACCATTTCAAAAAAAAAACCATCATAAATATGCTTTTAAAAACCTTTACCTAAAATCCAAAGGTATTACTATACTTTTACATACCTCGCCTTGTAAATAGACACTAGCAAGAAATTAAAGAATCACAGTTGTTGACGGGATTTCCAACCTATACCACATCAAAGTACAAAAAGATTACAACATATTCATTAACTAATTTGGTTCCTAACCCAAAATCAAGTTTCCTAAACGAGGAAGCAACTTCTTCCTACACATCCCGATCACCTCTACTGTTTTTAAAACAGCTCTTAAAAGGACACTACAAAGGCAGATTTACCAAGCAAATTTGCTGGGCAAAACCAAGTCAAAAAAATTGTGGAAAACCAAGTCCAAAACTATACTAGACACTAGTAGAAATTCTGGCAAAAACAACAGCAGAAACAATACAAAAAACAAGTCAAAATTGGGTAGAAATGGAAAGCCTTTAAGCAAGAAATGCTGTACCTAAATGAACTTAAAATCTGGACGGCTTGTGCATGATTTAAGTGCAGAAAATCATGTGAACAGGTGTTGCTATTACAGCATAAAAACAAGCAACAATACATGTTTTCCAGTAGCAGATATTTATATATATTTTTCAAAAGCTAAACAAATTAGAACCGAGGCAACAGAAATGGATAATAGGAGTAGAAATCAGATATTGTTTTAGGATAGAATAGCAGGGATTTTCTAGGTAAAAACATTAGCAAATTCATGGGCAAAACAGCAACAAAATAGCAGAATTTTCTGGGTAAAAACAGCAGCAAAATAGAAAAATTTTCTAGGTAACAACAGCAGCAAATTCATGGGCAAAACAGCAGTAAAATAGCAGCAGCAAAACAATGTTGAAACAAGCCAAAATTGGGTAGCATTCAAGCAAAAATGTAGTAGCAAAAAGGCAACCAAAACAAAGTAATAACAAGGGGTTTTAGAGCATGAAAACAATAGCTAAAATCTAGTAAAATCATGATGTAATATGGTAGTAGATAAGGTGGGAATAAAACAGAAAAGAGAGCAATTTCTGTCAAGTTCTGGTTTGATTTCATGCTAGAATTTCCAACAGAATTCATGCCTAGAAATTGACTAATCTGGGTTGAGTGGTCAACAGATAAATTATAGCCCTATGTCTTAACATTTTATAGCCTCAAGAATTACCTTTATCCGACATCTACAGAGAGTTATGGTCAACATACTAACACAGGGTCGGGCTACCACTTAAGTTCGCCTGCGGGAATCAAACTTGCAGGAGGTTTTTCACCATGAAAACATTCACCATAAAAATTACAGAGCTACCTCTTAGCTTCCTACAGAATCAAAAATCAACTTAATTTGATAACTATAGGCAAAATTATGGGCAAAACATTGCAAATAGGTCATGTTGTCCAAATCTAGCAGAACAGATCAGATTTGGTGCCACTAGGGCAAAACCAAGGAGGAAAACTATAGAAATAAACCCCAAATTGAAAACCCTAATAGGATTAAAGATAACCCAACTCAATTCAAAGGTAAAAGATGAGTAATATGGTTGATTACTTACTAGAAAGTTACAGAAGGAGCACCCACTGGGCATTCAAGGAATGGACAACAACAAATCTTGATATTTTCTTGATTAGGAGCAGAAGAAGCATCATAGATTCTGATTTGGAGTTGGAATAGAGGAGAAGAAGAAACCCTAAAATAGAAGAGAAAACCCGAAAGAGAATGGGTTTTTCCTTCCCCTTTAATTTGTTCGTCTAGCCCCCCCTTCTTCTGTTTTTTTTAGCTAACTTCCCCCAAGATTGAAGAATGAGACAACTAGGTCCCCCATTAAAATCCCTTTTTATACTAGTCATCTCCTATCTTAATTAATTAATTAATTAATTCACAAAAGTGCTAAAATTTTGGGGTATTACATTCGATCAAATGGCTTGACCGAAATAATTGGAAATTGAATTTTTGGAAAATAAAAATTGCATGTGATTTTAGTCAATAATTTTGACTGAAATGAAGAAGTGGAATGCAAAAAATATATATATATTTAATCAATTTTAATTTAGATGGCAAATATTATAATAAAATTTGGTATTAAAAAAATTCAATTCTAACATCATCAATTAAATACAATTCTTATTTATTTAATTTATTGACCTTTTTTTATATAGTTTTTAATTTTTATTATACTTATTTACTAATAATTATAACTAAATATCTACATGTATACAAAAAATGCAAAGAACTCAAAAATACTTAACATTTGCTAAAGGAGTCCAACATAATTACAAAAATAAGTCAAATTAATAAATATAATCACAAATAAAAGCATAGAAGTTAAAATATGCAAATAAATTAACTAAATATATAAAAAAATAAAAATTTAAGGAAAAATATTGAATCATGTAATAAAATTACCTTCAAAATGCTATCCCATTGTTCACCAACTTAAAAAACCTTGAAAATGAAAAATTAAATCATTAGTACACAATTAAAACAACCAGAAACATAAGATTATAGAAAATAAAGACAATTTTACGTAATAAAACAATTAAAAAAATGAAAGTAAGACAGATGGTAAGGAAGGAATTAGCATTAGTTTTGGTATGTGAAGATATGAATAAAACTTAAAAAGAAATAAGAGTTGTGATGAACAATAAAAAGAAAAAGAAAGATGAAGAGATGAAGAGGTAATGAAAATTTAAAGAGGATTATTGAAAGTTAGAAGAATAAGGGGTAGAAAAAAGAGTTGAAGTTGGAGAAGGAAGAAAGAAATGAAAGAGAAGTTGGAGAAGTGATAAGAAGAGTATGGGTTAGTGTATATATAGGCTGAATATTATTTTGGACAATAATAGTAACTGAAATAAAAAGGCAGAAAATTCAAACACTTTTGACAAAAAATTTAAAAGGGAAGGCAGAGGGCAAAATTAATTCAGTCAGTAATTATGACCAAATTAAATGTAGCGAAAATTCAAATTTTCATCAATTCGAAGGCAAAGATCAAGGGTTTTTTTTTTTCTCTCTTATTTTTTTCCAGAACTTTTATTTGGGTCAAGATACATGACTAAAATAATTACTAGTTGTAGTTCAGTCAAAATTTTTGATCGAATGAAAATCCAATTTTTTTAAAAAAAATTTTAAACAATTGTTTGGTCAAATATTTTGGCCAAATGAAGTAAAATAGGTAAATTCAATCATATTTCAGTCAAAAAATATTGACCAAATTTTGTTAATATAGCAGCTACAAAATGGAAAGCCTCATTCAATTAATTTGCATATTGCTGTATTTCTTACTTTTACGTTTCTTGTTTTCTACTTTATCTGTTTCCAATTTTTTTACGTTAACAATAAATAATTAATACAATAAAAATTCTACTAATTAAACTATTTCAAAAATATATTAGAACATTTAATTGAAAAGTTAACCTATAGGCACATAAATATTAAACTTGACCTAATATCATAATTAAAGTATCATGTCCTAAAATAGTAATTAAAGTACTATGTCATACTCATACATGTCCATGCATATGTAATAGTAAAAGATGTTTGTGATACAAATTAAGATCAACTTAAGACAAAGGCAATTATGCTCCCCCACCCGTCGCAATCCCTCCTCCTACCTGCATCATAAAAAACATCCTCTCCATCCTGTCAACCTTCTCTTGCAATGTGAGTTGATTCTCTTGTAGTTTTGTCACAATTTGTTGCAACTGCACCACATGTTGAGATGATTGAATAGAACTATTAGGTATGGTATGTGGAGGACGCTTACGATGTGACACTCTTTGCTCAGTAGGGTCCATGTAAATGGACATTCCATAAAATCGCCCATCCTTGGAAGGTCCACCTGAAACTTGGGACAAAAGTTGAGCATCAACTACCGTTGGCCATGCAGTTCTATCCTCCCCATATTTCTAAATGGCTTTTGCAATTAATCGTTCCTGCAATAAATTGTATAACATACTTATTATATTATTTAATAAAGTTGTAATATTCCAAAATTTTGGGAGTTTTATCAATTAAGTTAGGGGACTTATTTGAGGAAAAATATTATTTTGGGGTTTAATCGTAAAATTTTAAAAAATTAAGGGGCTAAAAAGAAAAGAAATTAGGATAAGGATCAATTGCTTTTTCTCTTTCTTTTTTCTTTCTTTTCTTCCTCATCAGCCGCGTGTTTCTGATTCTGCTTCTCTTTTTCTTCCCCCACCAGCCCCCCAAGCCACCGACTCTCTCCCCTTGAAAACCCGATGAGATCTTGATGAAATTTCTCTTCTTTTCTTGTTAAATCACAAGATTTGGGACTTAGAATCTTCCCTCTCAACCCAGAAAATCCCGGTTCTGCTCTGCTCCTCCCCTGTCCGCCGGCTGCTGTGGGTTTGAATTTCTGGGCATTTTTCGGGTAAGCCACAGCCAAGAAATCATCTCTTTAACCTTGATTTAGGCTGGGTTATGCTAATTTCTGTTTATTTCCCTCAATTTTTGGGTAGTCCGTGAGTTCCCTGCAGCTTGCCGCCGGCTTCTTCTTCCCTTGCCAGGTCCGGTTTTTGCTGGGAAAATTCTGGTAAGTGGTAGCTCCATTTAAGTCCCAAATTACCCATTAGTTGCTGGAATTTTGTCCATTTATTTGCTGCCCTGCTTGTCCGAATTTGGTTGAAAAAGGGGATAAATTCCGGTAGCATTTAGCAGCAATTAAATGTGTTTTTGTGCTTGGTTTATGTAGAATTTAGCTCGAATTGGATGCTGTGATGTTTTGTGTGAAAATCCCGTGTGTGTGAGTTGGGGGTTGCCAAGGTCATGCCCTCCATGTGCTGCCCGTGAGGTTGGGGAAATTTTGGTAGCTTTAAGCTATGTTTTTAAGTGTGGTTTAAGTAGAAAATTAGCTTATTTGAGAAACCCCGTGAATTTACTATGTTTGGCCAATTTTGGGAGTTGAAGTTACTGTTCACGAGGTACTGTTCACGGGTACTGTTTACACACCGAGGGTCAACGATTAATGGGGATTTAAATGTTTAGTTTGTGATATAAGAATAAATTTGGAGATGTCCAGTTATGTGAAGATTGGTAGAAATAGCACCGTGATTAGAGGTAGTGTTAAAGATGATTTTACTTTGAATTTGTGGTAGTGCGGTATTAATTGTGGAATATTGTGATTAGGTTTTGATCGTTCTGTCACCGTAGCACTTGGGTTAAGCCTTCTGCTTTATGCGAGTGAGGTAAGTAAATTATGGTAAAGCCATTTTAAAGCATGTTTTAAACTGTTTTTGAGATTGTGGCAAGGTTTAAATTGATTTTAAATTGATTTTATGAGCATCTGAGTGTGATTAAACTGAAATGAAAATTGTGATGATTTTTATGAAAATCATTGTTTTTCTGGAATTGAGCATGATTGGAAAT